CATCATCACCACCATCACCACCATCATCACCACCATCACCATCACCACAATAACGAGGACAGTCTGCCGGTGACAGATGCCTGTGCTGGGCACTGTGAAGGACTTCTCACCCAGTCTTCCTCATATTCGTCTCACTCACTCCTACCAGCCCAGTATGATGAGAGTCAGTGCTCTAGCTTTGAAGCTCAGGGACAGAAGGTAGAGTTGCCCAAGTTCATCATCATCACCATCACCACTGTTACAACCACCACCACCATCATTAGCACCATCACCATCATCACTGTCATCGTCCTCATCATCTGCCCTCCTTTCCAGGTGGAGGTGGGGTTAGGTAAAACATGCTGTCCCTGAATCCTGTCTGTGGAAATCCCACCCACCCTATGAGGACCAGCTGGACATCACCTCTCCAGGAAGCATCCTCTGGTCTCCAGCTCTGGTGCCTCACAGCCCTTTATCTCATCTCAGCATTTAGGGGCTGGGCCCGTTCCCGGCCGTGGAACAGGGTGGACTGAGAAGAGCGCAGGTGACGGGCTGGGGAGAAACACCGCGAAGAAGCCCCGGGAGAAGCCAGGCCTGGGGGCAGGCCGCAGCGTCCGAAGAGTCCTGGTCAGCAGTTGGCTCTAAGAATAGAAGACAAAGTCACAAATCCTATCAGCGGAAGGTGACTTTGAGTGGATCAGGAGAGCAGGCAGCCCTGGGAGACCTTCCACAAGAGCCCTGGGCCCTGGGGAGGAGGAGGGGAGGGCAGGGCCGGGCCTGCTCTACCTATGGGACCAGCTGGTGTCCCCCCCGGCCATGGCGGCTGTGTGGAAATGGTTACTGGAAGCACCAGGCCCTGGGCCACCATACCCTCTTTGTCCCCATGACCTGTGGTCGTAGTGGTGGCAGCCCCCGAGCCCATCTAGCCTTTGCCTTTGATGCAGTGCGTGGTACGGTGGGCGCTCTGCAAGTCGGCTCTGGGGCGAGAGTCTCAGAGGGCCCCGTGGAAGTAGCCTTAGACTCAGAGTTGAATGGAGCTTGGGGTGTGGGAGGCCCCTGTGACCCTGACCAGGCAAGAGCCTGGGCCAGCTGGAGCTTTTTCCCTCCTCAGTGTGTTTAGGTGGAGTCGCGTTTGGGGGCAGCTTCACACACACAGCCTTAGGGGTGACGGCACAGCTCCCCGAACACAGCATCCTCTGGGTGTGTGGGCCGGATGGAGGCTGTCTTTGTTTTTGGTGCCCTTGCCTGGAGTACAAAGCTTGGGTCACACGTCCTCAGGGGAGGGG